TTTAATTTAGTTTTATACTTCACGCAATCTTATTACATATATCCATATAAAAATGGGTTTTAGTTTATAAGTAAAAGACAACTTAATATTTATGTGATATTTTTAAATAATATTAAGAATATGAAAATTTGAATTACACATAATTAAATGCCTACACAAATTGTGTTTTTGTTTAATGATAAAAGGGTATACTTTTGTTATACATTTCTATAAATGTTGATTTAATAAAAAAACATAAGACAATTATGACTTATGAATACACAACTTTCTTATGAAACATACTAATTTGTCATATTTATTTAATTAATTATGCATATATTTATTTTTTAAATATTTTTTGATGCTTTTGGTTTTCAGGGGCATGGAAGGAACTAATCTATAATAATATGTTTTTATTTTATGAAACTAAGTAAATGTAGACCACATGTTATTATTTTGGACAACAGGGATATTGGAAGATAATATAATCTAAAACATATATTTATTTGTAGTTATATGTTTTTTGGTTTAGCACATATTTATGTGCAATGTGATGGTTATGAATGTTATTTGATTGTTAAATTGATGCTATTGTATTATGCAACTAAGGTAGCAATAATGCATACATGCTTTGCTGTTGATATTGGATAGTCATTAGCATGAGTAGGTCTATCCATTACCAGAAACAATTGATTCTTAAATGGAATAGGAGGTCTTAAGAGGAGATATAAAGCATTAAAACCCGTGACACTATAATGTTTACAATTATTGTTTAATTGAAGCAAATATAAAACATACACGGTGAGTAAGATATACAAATCCAATTACATAAAAATATAGTAAACTTTAAATTTTTGGTAATAAATTAATTATTTTATACTATTTATATTCAAGATTACCATTTGAATAATTATGAAGATTAATACTTATAATACATATAGACGAAAAATGTGATTGAAATACTTATTATTGTATGTATTCATATCAGTGTTGATATTACTCGACCACCGCTAATGCACGGGTCTATTCCTAGCGATTAAATACAGAGATAGACTCTTCCATGTTTTGTTAAAAACATAATTTATATTATTTAATTCACACAATTTTTAAAATAAATGCTTTTATACCTCAACAATTTTTAAAAAAATATTGTACTCTTGACATAATATGAATCATCATTAACTTTGTTAGCTTTATAAATGTAGTTATGTTTAACATTAAATTTTAAGAAATTGTAATGAATCATTTTTAATGATTTTAGAATCATTAGAAATATTTATACATTATTTAGAAATCATAATATTACTTTCTATCAATTATTAGGAATTTTAATTATTTGTAATCATTTTTTTTATTAAAAACAAATTTAATTTAGTTTTATACTTCACTCAATCTTATTAAATATATCCATATAAAATGGGTTTTAGTTTATAAGTAAAAGACAACTTAATATTTATGATATATTTTTAAATAATATTAAGAATATGAAAAAATCGAATTACAACGTATTTATATACTTACGTAAATTGTGTTTTTGTTTAGTGATAAAAGAGTAATAATTATATTATAAATTCCTATAAATATTGGTTTAATAAAAAAGCATGTGACAATTATGACTTATGAATACACAAATTTCTTATGAAACACACTAATTTTTCATATTTAGATCATTGAATATGCATATATATTTATTTTTTAACATGTTGTCATGTTTTTAGTTTTCAGAGGCATGAAAGAAACTAATCTATGATATTCTTTTGGGCATCTACATTAATTGTTTATAATTTTTTGAAACTAAGTAAATGTAGACTACATGTTATTATTTTATACAACAATTTGAAACTAAGTAAATGTAGACTACATGTTATTATTTTATACAACAAGGGCATTGGAAGATGATATAATCTAAAACATATGTTTATTTATAATTATTTGTTTTTGTTTTAGCATAAATTTATGTGCAATGTAATGGTTATAAATGTTATTTGATTGTCAAATAGAAGTTATTGTATTATGTAACTATGGTAGCAATATACTTATATGTTTTGATGTTGATTTTGGATAGTTATTAGCTTGAATAGGTCTACCCATTACCCCCAATCAATTGATTCTTAAATTGAATAGGAGGTCTTAAAAGGAGAATATATATCATTAAAACCCGTGACACATGTAATGTTTACAATTATTGTTTAATTGATGCAAATATAAAACGTACACGAGAAAGTAAGAGATACAAATCCAATTACATAAAAATTTAGTAAATTTTAAATTTATGGTGATAAATTAATTATTTTATACTATTTATATTCAAGATTACCATTAGAAAAATTATCAAGATTAATACTTATAATACATATAGACTAAATATCTGAAACAAATACTTATTATTGTATGTATTCATATCAGTCTTGATATTACTTGACCAGTGCTAATGCACGAGTCTATTACGTGCGATTAATACAAAGACGGACTCATCCATTTTTTGTTAAAAATATAATTTATATTATTTAATTCACATAATTTTTAACATAAATGTTTTTATACCTCAACAATTTTAATCAAAATATTTTACACTTAACATAATATGAATTATCATTATCTTTGTTAGCTTTATAAATGTAGTTATGTTTATCATTAAATTTGAAGAAATTATAATGAATAATTGTTAATGATTTTAGAATCATTAGAAATATTTATACATTATTGAGAATTTATTATACTACTTACTATCAATTATTAGAAATTTTTATTCTTTGTAATCAATTTTTAAAAAAAAAAATCAATTTAATTTAGTTTTATACTTCACTCAATTTTATTAAATATATCCATATAAAAATGAGTTTTAGTTTATAAGTAAAAGACAACTTAATATTCATGTTTTTGTTTAATGATAAAAGGGTAATACTTTTGTTATAAATTTCTATAAATATTGAGTTAATAAAAAACATAAGACAATTATGACTTATGAATACACACTAATTTGTCATATTTAGATCGTTAATTATGCATATATTTTTTTAAAACATTTTTTGATGCTTTTTGTTTTCAAGGGCATGGAAGGAACTAATCTATAATAACCTATTGTTATTCTACATTTTTTTAAACTAAGTAAATGTAGACGACATGTTTTTATTTTAGACAATAGGGACATTGGAAGATGTTACAATCCAAATTATATGTTTATTTATAACTATATGTTTTTTTATTTTAGCACAAATTGATGTACATTATGATGGTTATGAATGTTATTAGGATTTGCAGTTGATTTTGGATAGTTATTAGCATGAATAGGTCTACCCATTACTACAAACAATTGATTCTTAAATAAAATAGGAAGTCATAAGATGAGAATATATATCATTAAAACCCATGACACTATAATGTTTATGATTATTGTTTAATTGATGCAAATACAAAACGTACATACAAATATAGTAAATTTAAATTTATGGTAATAATTTAAATTTATGTTAAAAATTTAGTTTATATTATTTAATTCATAAAAGTTTTAATATAAATGTTTTTATACCTCAACAATTTAAAAAAAATATATTTTACTCTTAACATAATATGAATTATCATTATCTTTGTTAGCTAGATAAATGTAGTTATGTTTAACATTAAATTTTAAGAAATTATAATGAATCAATGTTAATAATTTTAGAATCATTAAAAATAATTATACATTATTTAGAAATCATAGTAATACCTACTATCAATTATTAGAAATTTTTGTTCTTTGTAATCAATTTTTAGATTAAAAACCAATTTAATTTAGTCTTATACTTCACTCAATCTTATTGAATATATCCATAAAAATGGGTTTTAGTTTATAAGTAAAAGACAACTTAATATTAATGATATATTTTAAAATAATATTAAGAATATGAAAATGGGAATTCCACGTTACTATATACCTACGCAAATTGTATTTATGTTTAATGATAATAGGGTAATATTTATGTTATAAATTTTTATAAATATTGATTTAATAAAAAAACCATGTGACAATTATGACTTATGAATACACAACTTTCTTATGAAACACACTAATTTGTCTTATTTAGATCATTAATTATGCATATATTTATTTTTTAACATTTGGTGATGCTTTTGGTTTTCAAGGGGAATGGAAGGAACTAATCTATAATAAAGTATTGTTAACACTAGTGCAGAAATGACTTTTTACATCGGGTGAAATTGACTTTTTACATCGGTTCTGGGTCCGATGTAAAGTCAGGCGATATAGTAAATCAGGGACTTTTTACATCGGTTCTGGGACCGATGTAAAAAGTCCCTTTTTTACATCGGTTATAATATCAGAACCGATGTAATAACTTGTTATTATGCACATTTTTTAAAAAATTGATCCAGTTTTTTACATCGGTTGGAAGTAATACCCGATGTAAAAAGTCCCTTTTTTACATCGGTTATAATATATGAACCGATGTAAGAAACAGTTATTATGCACATTTTTTTTTAAAATTGATCCAGTTTTTTACATCGGTTGGAAGTAATACCCGATGTAAAAAGTCCCCAGTGACACGACTTTTTATATCGGTTATTATCCCCAACCGATGTAAAAAGTCCCTTTTTGAAAGTTTTTACATCAGTTTTTACTAATAACCGATGTAAAATGTATGAAATTTTTTTGGAATAAATTATTTATTTTCTGGATGTTTCCCTGTACAAATATAATTTGTACCCATTTTTTCATATTTTTCCAATATCACACTGACTATATTTATGTCGCTATATAGATTTCATAGCTTTCCAACATCACATCTAGGTCGATGTTTTCATATTTTTCACAACAAACTTACAAATTGAACAATTGTATTGCAAACTTGTATTGTATTACAACAAACAAACTCTTCACAAAATATACAACAATATTCAACTATTTATAAGTCTTTTTTCAAAACTTACAATTACATATTATTCACAAAATATACAAAAAATATTCAACTATTTATAAGTTTCCAAACTTAAATTACCAATATAAAATCTTCGGTAGACAACTAAATAATCAGTATACTGATATATACACTCATCCTAAAAGAAGACCCAATTCCCCTTAACATAACCAACCTCCAAATTTTTACACAACACTCCGTTCTTTCTGTTTTTGTTTCCGCTTCAATCTCTTTGTTTTCTTTGTTTTTGCCCCATAGAACGGAGTAAAGTCCTATTACGATCAAAATTGCTCCAATAACACTGAAAATCATAAATTAAATAAATAAATCAATAATGAAAACAAATTATTTACCTACTTTCTCATTTTGTGTTTTTTTTTATTTTTATGATTGTGATGTTTCCTTTTTTTGTTGATTTATGATAAGAAAATGATAGAAAGTATAGAGAAGAAACCGCATGAAAGTAAAGTATCTTTCCCACTGAAAATTGATTAGTTCATAATTCATTGCATTGAACAAAGGTTTTAATTAAATTTGTGGTCCACTTGTGATGCAATAGTAAAGTTTCAGATGTATCAGCATCCCAACATTATAATTGTGGTTGCATTCTTCACACATCTGTCTCTTTTTTTCTTCAAAAATTCGATATAGAGATAAATACAAATTAGACCAAAAATAGAGAATAAAAAACTTTATATAATGGACTTACCCTTCAAGATATAATTTTTCAGCAAGGATGAAAGTGGCCATGATTGCTACAATGATCATCATCAAAGGACTAAAAGCAGTCACAAAAACTGGTCCTTTCTTTTGCATCACAATTCCTTGTACATAATATGTAAGACCTGATGATATTATACCCTGTTTGTTCATCAATGTTTAGCTCCACTAATTAAAATCCTCCATAAACATAACAAAATACCTAGATATTAGGAGAAAAACTTACAGCATAGGCTGCAGCTAATAAATTCATGTCCAAACCAATGTTCTAAACATTTGGTTTATGCTCCATAACAAATGTAACTGCTATTGATTGAAGTGTTCCCAAGAAACATACTATGGCTGTCAGTGAAAGTTGTGCTGAATATTGTCTTAATGTCACTGCCTGGAGGATGAAGAAAGAAGACCAAGCAAAGGTAGCAATTATGAGAAGGATTGAACCTTTAATCTATAACATGTGACAAATTGTAATACTAATTATTAGACATATTTAAAAAGAATTATAGTTGCTTTACATTAATAAATATTGATTATGTATTTTACTTTTACTTTTTTTAATCTTCTATATTAGTTGTATATATATTACTACCATTGCAACATTAAAATACGATTTATAACCACTGATTTGATGCGGTTGCAGATTGACATATATGTAATGTTGTGACCACAAATTGTGATACAATCCACAATTAAAAACCATGATTAATATGAACATTCGATAGAGACTCACCACCTCCTCTAGCATGTGATGAACAGAAAATAGGTCTTAGACTTCAAGCATTATTGTTACATAAAACTAGACTATTGAAAATGTATGACGTGTATATATATAAAATAGACACATTGGATGAGATAATGTTTCAACAAAATTTTATATATATATATATATATATAAAATATACCTGAAAATAACAGCCATTACAAAAAATCATTGCAGGGAGAATATTGCTAATAGCACAAGAGTATGTTGGAGATGTGAATTTCAACCCAGCATAGTATAGATTCTGATCAATCACAGGCCTAAACAAAACAAAAACACTTATTTAAGAACATTTTTGGAATAGTTAACGTTGCGATTCAGATGAACTAACTATAGTGTTTTTTAGAAATTTCGACAGCAAAGAATCTAAATCCATCAGAAAACACCGCGAGAAAAGTACTAACCCAAGGAGTCCCAATACAAACATTTGCATGAACATAAGAAACGTAATCCTTGGCCTTATCTTCCTGCCAACGACAAGAAAGAAGGAAGGATCAGAAAGTGGTTTTCTCAAACAAAAAATCAGTCAGAAAATGAATGATTGTTGAATACCTCTCAAGAACTATAGCGAATGGAGCAATAGCTGCTGTAGCAAAAGCATGTCTATAAACAACAAGAACATAGTGACTCATTCCTCGGTTGAGCGATACTTTTGTTATTATATTCATACCAGCAAAACCAAATTGAAGACAAATCATAGCTATGTATGGCTTGCACCTTTGAAACAAACTTGAACAAGATTTATCTCCTTCCATTACTAGTACTACGTTATTGTTTGTATTGTATACAGAGGAAGAGAAGAACACTTAAATGTGTTTGTGTTGTGTATTTTCTTCTTGGATTCTATTACAAGAACTGGTTCGCTTCCTTTCTTTAGGAACTCGTCATTTTTGCCAATAAGTATGCTGCCATCAACACAAAAACGAGCTTTAATTGACAGCATATATCTACTTTGAAAATAGTACCCTTTATGTATATTACATTATACAAATGAGCCTTTCAAGAAAGAAGGAAGGGAATATTATCAAATACTCAGAAAAATACTCAGATCTAATCAACTTTCCTGATAGTTTTTAAAAACATAATAAAACAAAATTAAACTTGGTATACAAAAAATCTAATAGTCTTACTCTATAGTATTATTTTTGTAAATATTAATATTTGAAACATTATTATTTTTCTAATTAGTTAACATAGAAGAGAAATGGTTAAGAAATGTGGCGAAACCCTATAAAAACATTAATCTTGAAATGAATAAAATTTTAAAGGTAGAATTTACCTGTAAGAAGCAGGTTTGTTAGGCCAAAGACGATAATTAACAGAAGAAGGTGGCCAAATGATATGAAACAAATGATCCACCCAACCTTTCTTCCCATTCACCTCTTTCTGAAGACTAGTCCCATACCCTTCAATCGAATTCGATCCAACAGGTTTAGCAATAACCTCTTTTTCCTCTTGTGGTAACTCAAAGAACTCTTTACCAACACTTTGCAACTTTCTTATAACATCATTTGGAATCTCATGGTTCAAAATTTGAAACATTCCCCACTCTTTACTCGCTTCCGCTATCGCCTTACACGAGTCAGTCTTCAGAAGCTTCCCTAGCCTCGGAAGCGTAATCCTCCGGAGCGACTCAACGTCCGGCACCGGCGCTGCATCAATAGCCGCCGCAAGGCACAGCGAAGCGCCGATCTGCACATTCACGTCCTGCTCCAGCGTTAACGCGTCCATAAACGGCCTCAGGAACGCAACAGTGAACGAAGGACGAGTGATGCGCGACGACATCTCAGCAACAGCGTCGACGCAAGCGGATCGTACAACCGAGTCGAGATCCCTCAACCGACGGAGAACAGTAGCAATCATCTTTGAGATAAAAGGAGACATCGCGTCACCATGGAAACGCGATAGAAGGCTCAAAAGGTTAACACATTGTTTCCGAACCGGAGATTTAGAAGACGAATCGGTGTTATGAATGCATGAGAGAAAAGATGAGAACGAGTCATTATTTAGGGTTCTAGCGATGGATTCCCACCGATTTAATAGGTTGTTTTTTTTTTTTTAAATACTTCTCAGGCTATTACATCGGTGGAAACTTCCACCGATTTAATAGGTTGCTTTTTTTTTTTTTTAAATACTTGTTAGGCTATTACATCGGTGGAAACTCCAACCGATGTAATAGGTTGCTTTTTTTTTTTAAATACGTGTTGGGCTATTACATCGGTGGAGAGTCCGAACCGATGTAATAGCTTACCTTTTTTTTTTTTTTAACCCACGTTTTTATGATTTATCAATATATTTTATATATTAATTCAAGCACATTTTTTACATCGGTTTTTATTTAAACCGATGTAATATATTGCTTATATTTTTTTTAATTTTTTTGTCACCTTGTTTCTTATTTACAAAAATGCCACCGTGTTTTTTTCTGGAAATCTTTTACATCGGTGGATGAGATTGCCCGATGTAATAGGTGACGAAAAAAAAATTTTCCCTTATTTTTTATATCATTGGAAATAAATACCTGATGTAAAAAGTTTGTTAACTGTATTTTTTACATCACCTATTTTGATACCCGATGTAAAAACCTTTTCTCAAATGTCTTTTTTTTAGTAGTGTAATCTACATTTTTTAAAACTAAGTAAATGTAGACCACATGTTTTTATTTTAGACAACAGGGGCATTGGAAGATTATATAATCCAAAACATATGTTTACTTATAACTATATGTTTTTTATTTTAGCACAAATTTATGTACATTGTGATGTTTATGAATGTTATTTGGTTTTTAAATTGATGTTATTGTATTCTGCAACTACGGTAGCAATAATACGTATATGCTTTGCTAGTGATATTGGGTAGTTATTAGCATGAGTAGGTCTATCCATTACCATAAACAATTGATTCTTAAATGGATTAGGAGCTCTTAAGAGGAGAATATATATCATTAAAACCCGTGACATTATAATGTTTACAATTATTGTTTAATTGACGCAAGTACAGAGACAAACTCTTCCATGTTTTGTTAAAAACATAATTTATATTATTTAATTCACATAATTTTGAATATAAATGTTTTTATACCTCAACAATTTTTAAAAAAATATTTTACTCTCGACATAATATGAATCATCATTATCATTTTTAGCTTTATAAATGTAGTTATGTTTAACATTAAATTTTAAGAAATTATAATGAATGATTGTTAATGATTTTAGAATCATTAGAAATATTTATATATTATTTTAAAATCATAATATTACTTACTATCAATTATTAGGAATTTTTATTCTTTGTTATCATTTTTTAAATTAAAAAATAGTTTAATAGTTCACTCAATCTTATTAGATATATCCATATAAAAATGGGTTTTAGTGTATAAGTAAAAGACAACTTAATATTTTTGAGATATTTTTAAATTATATTAAGAATATGAAAATTGGAATTACACATAATTATATACCTACGAAAATTGTGTTTTTGTTTAATGATAAAAGAGTAATACTTTTGTTATAAATTTCCATAAATATTAATTTAATAAAAAAAAGAGACAATTATGAATTATGAATATACAACTTTCTTATGAAACACACTAATTTATCATATTTGGATAATTAATTATGCATATATTTATTTTTTAAACATTTTTTGAGGCTTTTGGTTTTCAGGGGCATGGAAGGAACTAATCTATAATAACATCTTGGGCATCTACATTATTTGTTTTGTATTTTTTGAAACTAAGTAAATGTAGACCACATGTTATTATTTTGGACAACAGGGGCATTGGAAGATGATATAATCTAAAACATATGTTTATTTATAGTTATATATTTTTTGATTTAGCAAAAATTTATGTGCAATCTGATGGTTATGAATGTTATTTGATTGTTAAATTGATGCTATTGTATTCTGCAACTACGATAGAAATAATACGTATATGCTTTGCTGTTGATATTGGGTAGTTATTAGCATGAGTAGATCTACCCATTACCATAAACAATTGATTCTTAAATGGAATATGAGCTCTTAAGAGGAGAATATATATCACTAAAACCTGTGACACTATAATGTTTACACTTATTGTTTAATTGATGCAAATATAAAACCTACACGGGGAGTAAGAGATACAAATCCAATTACATAAAATTATAGTAAATTAAATTTATGATACTAAATTAATTATTTTATACTATTTATATTCAAGATTACCATTGGAATAATTATCAAGATTAATACTTATAATACATATAGACGAAAAATGTGATTCAAATACTTATTATCGTATGTATTCATATCAGTCTTGATATTACTCGACCACCGCTAACGCACGGGTATATTACTAGCGATTAAATACAGAGATATACTCTTTCATGTTTTGTTAAAAATATAATTTATATTATTTAATTTACATAATTTTTAATATAAATGCTTTTATACCTCAATAATTTTTTTTTAAATATTTTACTAATGACATAATGAATCATCATTAACTTTGTTAGCTTTATAAATGTTGTTATGTTTAACCTTATATTTTAAGAAATTGTAACGAATAATTTTTAATGATTTTAGAAACATTAGAAATCTTTATACATTATTTAGAAATCATAATACTACTTACTATCAATTATTAGAAATTATTATTCTTTGTAATCATTTTGTTTTATTAAAAATCAATTTAATTTAGTTTTATACTTCACGCAATCTTATTACATATATCCATATAAAAATGGGTTTTAGTTTATAAGTAAAAGACAACTTAATATTTATGTGATATTTTTAAATAATATTAAGAATATGAAAATTTGAATTACACATAATTAAATGCCTACACAAATTGTGTTTTTGTTTAATGATAAAAGGGTATACTTTTGTTATACATTTCTATAAATGTTGATTTAATAAAAAAACATAAGACAATTATGACTTATGAATACACAACTTTCTTATGAAACATACTAATTTGTCATATTTATTTAATTAATTATGCATATATTTATTTTTTAAATATTTTTTGATGCTTTTGGTTTTCAGGGGCATGGAAGGAACTAATCTATAATAACATGTTTTTATTTTTTGAAACTAAGTAAATGTAGACCACATGTTATTATTTTGGACAACAGGGGTATTGGAAGATAATATAATCTAAAACATATATTTATTTGTAGTTATATGTTTTTTGGTTTAGCACATATTTATGTGCAATGTGATGGTTATGAATGTTATTTGATTGTTAAATTGATGCTATTGTATTATGCAACTAAGGTAGCAATAATGCATACATGCTTTGCTGTTGATATTGGATAGTCATTAGCATGAGTAGGTCTATCCATTACCACAAACAATTGATTCTTAAATGGAATATGAGGTCTTAAGAGGAGATATAAAGCATTAAAACCCGTGACACTATAATGTTTACAATTATTGTTTAATTGAAGCAAATATAAAACATACACGGTGAGTAAGATATACAAATTATATTACATAAAAATATAGTAAACTTTAAATTTTTGGTAATAAATTAATTATTTTATACTATTTATATTCAAGATTACCATTTGAATAATTATGAAGATTAATACTTATAATACATATAGACGAAAAATGTGATTGAAATACTTATTATTGTATGTATTCATATCAGTGTTGATATTACTCGACCACCGCTAATGCACGGATGTTTAACATTAAATTTTAAGAAATTGTAATGAATCATTTTTAATGATTTTAGAATCATTAGAAATATTTATACATTATTTAG